CCCAAAACCCCAAAACCCCAAAACCCCAAAACCCCAAAACCCCGAGCCTTCCACTAAAATTATAAATTATATCGATTAATACATCAATGAGGAAGAGGAGAGTAAACCAAGATGGAGTTCATATTTCAGAGCTCCTTTCAAACCTTACTGTTTCAAACAAAGATGCCCAACAGAGAAACAGGCCTGAGGCTAGAAAGCCAGCTAATGAGACTCAGAAGAAACTTAGTGGGAAGAAACAAAGGAATGATGTAGTTCAGAAAAGTTCAGATTGGTGCTGTACAAGCATCAAGTTTTTGCTGCTTCTCTTCGTTTTCACTTTAGTGGGAACAGCCGTTTATTGCTACGAGAAAGATTGCAGTAAATTAACAGGAGAAATCGTAGGGTCAGGAGTAAGATCAAGGAGTTAATTATAGGCTACTTTATTGAAGGCCATCGATAAGCAAAGATTTGAGAGTAAGCTTGGGCTTTAATTAACCAGAATTATTTATCTGATAATCTTGTGTAGTGGAAGCCATGAAAACCTCTTTTGAAACCCTAAAGCATCGAATTATGAACGAGCCCTTTTCTGAAGAGACTGAGAAATTAATGGAGTATTACTCACATGTTCTACATAAATCTGATTATTTCAACAAGATACATTCCAGTCGTTTAAACCCTCCTGGTAAGATTTTCTTCAAAGACAATGCATAAATATCTATAGAGCAAACATTGGCGATCGCTGGGAATCAGCCAAGGTAAGTGCTTCAATCTTTGGGGGAACATCCAGAGTTTTATTGGAACCTCTGCAAAATTGCTAGCAAGAACTCTCCTAGAGAGCTTTATTTTTTAAGAAGGAAGAAGTCGAGTTAGTGACTTCAATTTTTTGCTGTATGCCTAAACTCTGTTGACTTTTAGAATAGCTTTTATTTATCTAAATTATAGCGCATTGGAAGAACTGGTTGATATTGGGAGCAAGATCTGGAGCGTTGTTTCAATTGGCCTACTCATCTTATAAAATTTCAACATCTAAGTATTCTCAGGGGTTTTGGGGTTTTGGGGTTTTGGGGAGAT